GGACACATAGGACAACATCAATTCCTGGATACAGGGCATATTGATGCTACACTGGGCCAAAGTTGTCAATGGTCTTAGTATACATTTGACGTCTGTCAAAATGTCGTCCCGCCGCTTGACCTGAATATAATCGTTGTCCTTATTCTTGTTATATAACATGTTTACACAAATCTCACTTGTCCATCATGGTTGATCTTTTCGGACACTTTATTTAACATAAGGACAACACCATATGATAAAGGAAACTGATGCTTTTGTAAATTTCACTTGTCATAGAGCCGACCACAAACCAAGATGGCGGCCACTGACGATACGTTGACGGAAAGATATTGTCCGTTTTATTATAACAAATTGTCTCGATGTCCTGATCATTTCTACTGTGTCCTTATTGTATTCGGACAAGAAGGACAACATAAGGACAATTAGTAGTCACTTACTTGTGTTAGAAATGAAACTGCCTATGCAGCGTTTCTTGTATGCAAGCCATCAAACCTGTGTTCTGATTGGTTGAGAAAGGTCACATGACCTCCTGATGATGCCTATAAATACGATCACTGGTCAAGGCCTGACACACTCGATACACACTCGATTCGGATTCGATTCACTCGGGTCACTTGATTTAGATACAATAAGACTTTCAGTCTGATTAAAGGCTCCTGCTCTAGTTTTTACCTGGCACCTACTGACTTAGATTTATCACCATAACTGCTTCTAGGTATATATTTTAAGTCAAATTACAATCAATTTAATAACTATATTACATACTCAGTAACATTTCTGCAAGATATTTGAGTTGAAATAACAAAATAACTATTTCCTTGGAGACTGAGCTTTGTCATTAGATATATATATATAGGTCGAGTAGTGTGTGATATTTATTGGCATCATTTATTTTATTTCATTGCTAACAAAATCCCATCTACATTCTTGCCATTGAAACAAAATTAAAACAAAGTTTGCATATATCACGGCAAACTTTGCTCTCTACTTCATCGTCTCCTTGTGTTATTTGTTTTCCCACGTGCACCCCAAGGGTGTTACAATATAGAGAATTATGTATTTCATTGCCTCAAATTCCGTTGGTGGCCTTTAGGGTTGGGAATTCTATTTTTGCGACATGATATTTCCCTCCATGAACCAAAAAATAAACACTTTGGAAGTTAAAATGTGGTATCAAAGAGAATGTCTACCTTACAAAGCTATATTTTGTATCAGTCAATCAATCCTATTTTCTGCACTGGTGAGGCCACAGTTATACATATAATTTATGCTGTAGACATTTGCGAATGTATTTTTGTCAGTGTAACTAAGCATAATGGATCTAGATGTTGACATGTACGAAAGCCTAATGCTGCCACATTTGTAACATTTGTTTCCGACACATTTCTCGTTGTGTGGACTATTTTGTCGGCGCTTGGGAGTATTTTTCTCGTTATGTCAATTGTTTTCTCGTTTTCACATTTGTTTTCTCGTTTTCTCAATTGCTTTCACGTTATTTCAATTATGTTCTCGTTGTTTTGAGTATTTTCTCGTTACATTAGGTTTCTGTCAAAAAATGAAATTTCGCGTATTTTCTCATACCTTGTGAAGAAACCTGGAAAACAATAAAGGAACACTTGTACTTTCATGTGTTCCCTTATTCGTTTCTATGAGTATATTACAAGAGGTACATGTGATTCGATGTGCATGTCAATATCACGTTTATGTGAATGATATAACCCCTTCTTCTAAATCATACATGTATTTTCAAATAAAATTGTTTTAATATTGTCTATAGTGATGGTTAGATCTCACTTATTCAACGTTGTTCCAGTACATTGATCTCATTCTCTATGCACGTATTGTTCAGGAAAAGGATAATATCATCAGCAAATTGAAACAATGCAACTGGGTTGTATGATAATGTAACTGAATACTATTGGTGCAGTTATCATGGATCTGATTTGCCAATTCTAAAATTCAGAAAGACTTTATTTTGTAGATGAGTATATTATGAATGTAACAGGATATGTGTTCCATGAGACAGTAGCGGGTATTTGGTTTTAAGAGCTCATATGTACGTGTGTATGGGTTTAAACAGACTTTCAACTGACTGACTAGCTGGCCAAATAGCTGGATTCTTCGACGGGTAAGGATAACGGTATTCCACAAGTATTTTAAGAAACAGCGCATTATACAAAGCAAATATACTGCTCCTGATTTTATATTGCGCGGGGTATTCCGGCAAAACTGTCGGGTCTTGGCGCACTGTAACATCACTGTAACACAATGAATTGTTTAAAAGATTGATTATTCAATCTTTTTCAACTTCAAATGAAGACATCTTCAAATATCACAATGGTAAATTAAAATATAATCAGTGTTTCTAGCCAGAGGCCTTGGATTAGGAACTGTGGAAGTCAATGTGCGCAAGAATCTGTTTACTTTATTGATTCAAAACGAATACCGCAGAGCATAAGAATCCCGTATTGCAATTAACCGGATCTGGATGCTTTGAAAAATGGTTTCTGTAAAGGTGTTTGGGCAACCATGAATCAATACTGCACAAATGGAATACTTGAACCAGCAATAGTCTGAAAGCAGTACAGCGGATTATCAAAGAACAATGACAATGTCTTGTGAATGAGCTTCTTTGTCGATATTAGATTGGCCAATTAAAGGATTGGTCACTTATTCTAATGGATGTTCACTACTGAAGAAATGGTGATTGGGAGCACTGCCGGTCGATTAAGCTTTATTGGACAGATCAGTCGTGATTAGTTCGTATGTGCACTGTGGCGAAGTGTATTGCCTGATTGATTTTGTAATTTCCCCTTTGAATATATTTACTTTTCAGAAGGTCAAACATTCGCGCCGCTTTGTACCTCGGTATGCAGGTAACTCCGTATGTCTTGATACAACTTAATGTTAACACAATAAATCGTTTCTCCAGTTTTGTAGAAAAAGGTAGTCTATGCAAGTCTCTAACTAAAGATAATTAGTTTGTCTTTCGATTCTTTTAGTTTGCATTGTACATTAATATAGAACATATAGTTGACTCAGTGAGTGAGTGAGTGAGTTATGGAGTGGAAGTGAAGACCACTTTGAACAGTATTTCAGCTATGTGATATGACATGTCAACTCGATGTGACAGGAGATTCTGGAGTGGTGCAGGTATCCCATGAATATCATCTTAACATCAACGCCACAACGACAAAACAGAAGTTTCATTACGCCCAGGACGGTATACTCGGCGTAAGAGGTACAAATATACATATAGAATACATAGGATGACGCAATGGTTTACATGGGTTATTGTACAGTGTTCGTGATGGTATAACAGAATATACACAGGGTTTTTTAAAGCACAGTTTTTACAGTGAAACAATTGTGACGTTATATCCTTCCAAAGTACAGACCTTCATCATTTTTACATCTATGTATCCATGGCCATTGATTGTACGCGATGAAACAGAATGGACAGTTGCAATAAATACAGCCTAAAATATCAATACCGTCTCTGAATCAGACGTATAATTTTAAAGATGTATGTCAGGCATAATCCTTCTATTCATCGTTTTGCCATCTGGCGTTGCCCTACACAAATTGATATGGAATTGCATAATGTGACTGAATGTATTTACTGCTTTAGGCTTGCTCCTGTCAGATGAAATCATCAATAAATGTTAACGGCTATTCTGTCACACATGCAGTTCCAAAACGTGGGCAAAAGGTCAGGGTAACCGAAAGTTTGGCAGTTGACTATAACTTCCCTCACACATAATTGATTTCCTTTGCTGGGTAGTAAACGTGATTAATTACTAAAAACTGCATCTTGACAAGCTGTTAAATTGGATGCCATGTCAATGAACACGCGCGTCTTAGCTATCCACTCAGTCACGAAATGTGGTATCGGCACATCTTTGAAATACCCTCTTTGTACCTTCTCTAGTCAAGAGAATTAGTTGTCACATTGATAGTCGCATGTCAATATCAAAGACAGGGCACACATCACTCAGCATTACTGGGTTCCTCAGTCTTTAACGGCCCTTACTGACGTCAAATGTTATTATTCATGGCAATCAACATTTTATCCCTTCCAGAGAGTCAAAACCAAATTAACACTATCCCGTAACAACCAATGTACACAAACCATGATGATGACCAATCTATGTAGTGAGAATAGATTCATTTTAGGATCCATACAAGCTTCATTTTTAAGACACGTTTAACGCATCAGTGTCGTAAATGCAATTATGCCTTATGCTATTACCTAACATAATGGGTAGTTGACCTATCCATGGTAAGACAATTGTAAATTTCTTTGTATTTTAAGGCCGCACTCTGTAATATTACAGCTACATGGCGTCGGTCTGTAAATAAAATGTCTGGACTAGACAATCCAGTGATCAACAGCATGATCATCGATCTACGCATTTGGAATACTATGACATGTGTCAACCAAATCAGCGAGCCTGACCACCCGATACCGTTAGTCGCCTCTTACGACAAGCATGGGTTGCTAAAGACCAATTTTAACCCGGATCTTCACGGGTAACAAACGTAAATTTCATGCGTTCAAGATAACACATGTCTGAGTTTTAAACTGAAGGTCATATCATTAGACTGTTACACAATTCACAATGCTCCACGATGTTTCACGTGGGAACAATACCAGTAACAATAACGTCATATGATCACGCATTTCCCGATGATCCTGTGCTGTGATGGGGTCACGTTTGCATTAAAGTCAATGTCAGACCACTCAAATCAACAGTGAAGGACAAGCAGCAATCACCCTAAAACATGGGCTATCTGCCTCATGCCCAGAGATTGTCCACACTTCATTAATGACAAATTAAGTCTAATTTGCGATTTATTTTGTGTATACAATGTAAGGACATGCAAACAGTATCAAACACGAACAGACAAGTCTTCAATACTGTATATAAAGCGAATGATGGTATAATTGTGTTTCAGTCACCACTTTTGAGTTTTGATCTGCACAGAACTACATACTACCATGAACTCCACTTCCATAAATGGTACAGTCAATTCGACGACTGTTCCAACAGAAGCATCTACAGCTGAACCAGAACCTAGTGTATCTTTCTCAGGATTTGGCTATGACATTATTGGCTTTATACAGTTTTCACTTGCCTTTTGTAGCTTCTTTGGAAATGGTATGGCCGTTCTGATATTCTTAAAGCATAAGCAGCTACGGTCTCCGACCAACACTTTCATCATGAACTTAATCTTCTGTGATATGTTGATGGGGATGGTGGCCTTTATATCAGCATCTGCTGCCTTCAACCATGGATGGGTATTCGGGCACAATGTGTGTGTTTTTGAAGGATTTATGGTGTATTTCCTTGGCCTGGCATCAATGTACCTCTTGGCATCTATTGCACTTGACAGATATGTTGTAATATCCAAACCACTGTCAGCCTCCAAGATTACCCAGAACGTAGCCCTACTATGTACTGGTGTCTGTTGGGTGCTTGGCTTCCTGTGGGCACTATTTCCCATTTTGGGATGGAATGAATATACCGTTGAGGGTATTGGGATCTCATGTAGTGTGATCTGGCAGAGTGACGACCCATTCTACTCCAGCTACATCATCACCATCTTCTTTTCGTGCCTTGTAATTCCCGTCTGTTTGATGTCCTTCTCCTACTACCACGTATACATGGCTGTAAGTATTGCTTGAGTGAGTAACCCCGCATCAGTGATTTTGCTCAATTTCGCGGCTACTGTAAGTATTGTTGGTAACTGAACTCCAATATTGGAGATATATGAAGGCGATCAGTAAATAACCGAGCGTGGACCAAACAACCCAGTGATTGACATTTCAAGTATCGATCTACGCATTTAGGATATGATGACACGTGTCAACTAAGTCAGCGAGCCTGACCACCTAATTCCGTCAGACTGTTTCCTATAATACGTACAATGTTTGAAACTGAAAGCTAGGTATGGGTTAAGTTCAATATGCATTGGCTGCTCAAAATCGATTCTAACCCGGATCTTCATGGGTCTGCAATTATTTAAGTTGATGCCAAGAAACAGAAGGCAGATTGGAATCTTAACGTCGAAGGTTAAAAACAAATATCGGGAAAGTTTTTTGGCGAGATGTTTTCTTGGAGTATATTTTGTATCATCGAACATTTATTTGACAAACGTTTGTTGTTTTGAACAAAGCAATACTGTTTCACCCTTACAACCGCTGGCATACTACTGAAATAAGAGGAAGATGATAGGATTTGTCTGATAATTGTTTTAGGCTGTATATCGGCTAAATTAATTATATTGTGAAATGACAAACTAGTATTACTGTGGTAGGTAAGTATGACAAGGGTCAAATGATCAAAGTAGATGATTCACAATCATCCTGCTTACTCATTCTAATCACCCGATCTCCATTAATCGGCTCACTCTTGATATCAATGCATGGGTATTCGTGACTTACGCTGTTCATGGATTCATTTTAATAGCTGATAATGTTCTACACACGAACATAAGATTACATAAAAAGAATAATGCCAAAAGCGGTGTGTCATTGAACTCTGTTACTTCATATTAAACTGAACCTTAGCAAGTCAGGGGCTAAGATAGAGCGCCTCTTTTTAGTAGTTTTGTGTCCAACTGTCAACTATTTTGTGAATTCAGATATAGCCCCGGATAGATTTAATAACAATTTATTTCCCACAAAAAATATCTTGGGACCTTTGTGATGCTGGAATGCATCCCAGAGTCCGATGATCGAGAATACAAATCTCACTTTCGCTCTGCTTAAGTTCCAAGATTTGTGAACATTACATCGTTATGCCCCTGGATTCCAGTAACTGTGAGCTTGCAAGACCTCCATCACATGTGCAATGCGGCGGACATTAAGTTAAAACGACGGGGGTAAACTGAAATACTGATCAAGCCAACTAATTCACTCACTCACTCACTGATTGAATAGTCACATGCTTTTTGCAACATTTGTGTTAGTTCTGTTTGGATCTTGTGTGGCCTTTTTGTGTAAATTACAAATTTGATGGTATTTTTTTCAATTTCTGTATTATCACTGAACCAAGCATGACGAGTGAGGGAGTTAAAGTTTATAGTCACAGCGGCAGTATTTCAGCCATATCGTGACCTACAATAGTTTTAAATTCATGATAAATGCGCAAATTTTAAAAACGTGTCGACGAAGTACAGTAAAACCAACTAGTATATCACAGTAATAAGAAATATAACTGGCATATATCTCTAAACTAGGATTTCAAATTAGGACAATATAATATGAAAAAGACTGAGGATCGCCAACAACTTAAAGTAGATCACCCAAGCATGACGAAGTAAACAAATATGACAAAAATATTAATCAATGACTTCATGCACGTACTCTCAGTCGCACTCTGAAACGTGTTGTTGATGTGTTAGTACAGTAACGCTTTTAACACTACTGACTGATCCAACAACATTGATACTACGCAAACATATATTAATTCTACTATCTCATTTTGGCAGGTGCGAAACGTCTCGAGGAACAGTGTGTGGGACACCAAGAGCCGAGTCGCCAGGAAAAAACTGAAAGTAGAGAAGAAGATGTTGAAGACGTGTGTAGCGATGGTTTGTGAGTAATCCTTGCTAACACTATATATGATACAGAACAAGCTTTATGGATGACAACTTCTTTTTATTCGTGAGTGCGACGCTTCGATACAGATTTTTGCACCGTTGTCAAGCAGGAATGGAACATGAAGAAGGGGGATGTATATATACACATGTATACTGAATGTAACAATATAATAAAGACAACAACTTAATTAACATAATTGGCTAGGCAGTAAGCTGATGGAACCAGAGAGTAGACAAAGGACGGGCGTGGAAGCCAATGATGTACAAATAATAATGAGATGTTTATACAGTAGAGTTTATACAGTAGATTGGACTTGGTGGATGAGTGCATCATAAGCGGATGGAATGAAGTATCCTTGGTCTCGGTTGATGGTGGGCGTTTGATGTGGATGGCTTCGGTGAGCTTGCTTGTTAGCGAGAATGGTGATGTCAGACCACTCTATTTGATGATTGGGGCTTGCTTTGATGTGGTCTGAGATGGCTGATTTGCTGTCGGAATTGGTAACAGAGGTCTGATGTTCTTTCAATCGGGTGTTGATGGGTCGGGACGTTTCGCCTATGTAGGTCTGTCCACAATCACTCATCCACCAAGCCCAATCTACTGTATAAACATCATTATCATTATTACATCATTGGCTTCCACGCCCGTCCTTTGTCTACTCTCTGGCTCCATCAGCTTACTGCCTAGCCAATTATGTTAATTACTAGTATGTTGTTTTCTTTGTTACAGGGTTACATTCAGTATAATTATATATATAATTATATATATATATATATATATATATATATATATATATATATATATATAGATATATATATATATCTATATCTATATCTATATCTATATCTATATATATATATATATATAGAGAGAGAGAGAGAGAGAGACAAAGTCGACCTTTGGGCGACATTTGTGCGACCTTTAGGCGACAGCTGTCGCCCTAAGGATATATTTCTGTCGCCTAAATATCTGCATGTCACAACTATGTTCATTTTCCTTAATAACTATTCCTATATATATACATCCCCCTTCTTCATGTTCCATTCCTGCTTGACAACGGTACAAGAATCTGTAACGAAACGTTGCATCACGAATAAAAAGAAGTTGTCATCCATAAAGCTTGTTCTTTATTGTACTTCCCAACTTCTAAAATGCCACTCAAAGAAGTTAACACTATATATGTGTTTTAATTGTTAACACACAATGATTTAATAGGACTTTATTTCTGCAGTACATAGCCATTGAATACGCATCCTTTAACAATATGCCCATAATACCAATACACGTGGGTTTAAACGTTGCTCACATATGTAATATGATCGAGCACCTAAAGTAAAGTATCTTGAGTAGCATCTAATAGGACTTTGTATCATTTAACACAGCGTTGACGTTTGGGTTTCAATTTCTTCGTCTGAAGCATACAAGGCTATCTGCATTCATCCAGCGCGTGACCATTTATCACATCTGGTAATGGTTTCTCTAAAAAAAATTAAACTGAAAAAGTGTTAGATTTGACAAATTAATTTATTAATCTTTCTCCGAAGACAACATTTTAAATATTCAACGTGGTAATTTTGCTTGTTCTGTGTGCGTTGGCTTCTCGCGCCGTGTCTCTGCAGCTGTCATCACCTGGGGCTTCGTTCCCAAATTAAACTCAAAATGTTGTTCAACCCAACTCGCTCTCTCGTTATGACTTTTTCCTCACCCATTTTTATGACTTGGTGCAGTTTTATCCCATATCTGTCACGCATTTTCCAATGAGATTAGGTTTCATTGAAATTGAAGACTCGATAATGCATTTCAATTAGTTCATTACGCAATGCGATCAGATTATCCTTTTCCTACATACCGTTCGTGTATGGCATTAACATAAATTTACACGTGTCTTCGGCAAATATGTTTCTGTGGGAAAGTACCTTATTTGAACCATTAGAGTGATAAAATATTATTAAGGTAAAACACGAATCCTGGACCTCAAACAATCAATTTTGCACCGAAAGATATCATCACTTGCTTGATAACGGCGTCAGCATCTACACCGAAGCGTCGCAGGTATTGTTCAGGGCCTCTTTTCACAAAGCACTAAGGTGATCGTAAGTCACTAAGGTAACCTTCGTGCAATGTTAACGAATGGGAGTGACGGTTAAGCTCAGTAAAGGATGCATCATGAAAGGAGCCCCTGAACGATATTGTCCGTCCGCTTCACACACCTCTCGCTTGATATGTTGTATGAACAGTTTATTTCTTGTTCAACGCCGCACTCAGCATTATTCCAGCTACACATGACGGCGGTCTTAAAATAGCCGAGTGCAGATGATGACACGACCCAGAGCATCGACCTAGGCTATGACATCCATCATCAGCCACGTCAGTGACGGTGACCACCCTATCGTGTCAGTAGCGTCTTACGACAAACATGGGTTGTTGAAGACCAATATTTTTTTCTAACCCGGATCTTCATGGAGAACGTCTATATGAGGTTGGTTATAGTTTAACGCCGCACTCAGCAATATTCAAGCTATATGGCGGTGGTCTGTAAATATAATCGAGTCTGGACCAGAAAATTCAGTGATCAACAGCATGGGCATCAATCTACGCAATTAGATCAGCTGAAGACCAATTCTTACCCGGATCTTGACGGGTGAGTTTATCAGAGCATACTATGAGGTGATGATGAGAAGTAGCCGATGGGATAGGTATACGTATACTCTGTTAATCGTAAACATCTGACTACAATAGCCTTGCGACAAGACGGTGAACAATATTTTCTTGAAGATCAATTCTAACGTGTGACAAACTAAACACTTCCGTATTGGTAACTGCGGAAACCTCTTTACGACAAATGTGTATTTGTGACGTGTCATTATTTTGTGACCGCCTCCGTGGTGTAGTGGCCAGAGCGTCCACAAGGAGAGCGGAGGTCGCGGGTTCGATCCCCGACCGAATCATACCAAAATACGTTAAAATATGGTACTTATTGGTCCCTGCCTGGCGCTCGGCATGAATGGGTACAACAAGGACTGGTCGGCTCGGAGTCAGTATAATGTGTCTGAGTGGGGTATTCATGCTTCACTGCGGCGTGATATCTCAGTGGGCTAGCACTATAAAACCAGTTTCAGTCTGGGCTAGTACAAGCAGCCGCACATACACATACACACGCATGCACGTCGTCATATGAGCGAAATATTCTCAAGCACGACGTTAAACCCAATTTCACCTCACCTCATAATGTATTGTACTGTGAAGCATTTCGAATCGGGGGTCATCTCAAAACAATATTTATTTAATCTTTAACCCTCGCAAAGACACGAGGGACTGTGCCCCTACCCTGCACATTGACACAATGTTATGTCTGTCTGTGATATGCTAACACCACTCGTCAGTTTACTCTCAGTTTGCATTTAGCGGTCGCTCTAACCACTACACCACGGAGGCGGTCACAATGCATTATGTCATAATGTATTGTACTTTGAAGCATTTCGAGTCGGTGGGTCATCTCAAATATATATATATATATTTGTTTTAGCACAAAGATACGAGGGCCTGTGGGTAGGGGTGGGGATGATTGTTGGTGATGAATATCGGGTATAGATGAATACTGTATGCACACCTTCCCGGTGTTTATGCCTCTTAGAATGAATGCTAGTAGTCTATGCGGGCATCATGTTTCATTCGGCCGGATGATGTGGATCTTAAATGTCACAATAACAAGCCATTAAACTGAACAATAAAAACTTCTTTCGACCGAGAACTGGACCAGGTGTAAAAGTCAATACGCCCACAGTATTTGTTTTTGTCACTGACATTTGTTGCGCAGCAACAATATCTTTAGAAATATGTGAATGTTTTGTTGTTTTGTTTTACGCTCTAAGTATTTTTAGGCCGTCAAGGAAAATGAGACGGGCAATGTTTCAACACTGGACTACCAGTGTTAAAAACATAGCCCGTCTCACCGTCCTTGACGGTCTATTTTTGTGAAGGACGGGCTATTAAATAAGTAAGGCAGTCCTTTGGTCGGGCGGAAATATTTGAAAAAATATACTTAACTTGGTTTGAACTTCGTCTTATCTATTATTATTTCATTGTTTTAGTTTTTGGGACTGGCTGTGTTTGTTAAGGGCTGATCACTTTTTTTTGGACAGCCAGTCCGTGGAAAGGCCATATTTCAATCTATTTTATACGAATTCGGTTCGAGCACGATGACATTTCACAATACTGATAAGCCGTATCGATCCCATGTAAGGAATGGAACCAAATGATTTGCCAAATCACAAGGCTACACAACCGTGCATATAATACTAAGAGCAAAGCCAATATGTTCTAAAAATATTATTTCTTCAAAAGTGTTAAAAACATATAAGACGAATGTCAAAATATGCAATAAAGGTTAATTGCATCTTTCAGCTATATTTCTCCTGTCCTGGCTGCCCTACACCGTTGTGTCCTTCATCTCAGCCTTCGGCGACCCTACCCTGATCTCCCCGCTGATGGCGACAATACCCGCCCTGGTGGCCAAGTCGGCTGGCCTGTGGAACCCTCTGATATACGTGGCAACCAACAAGCAATTCCGCTATGGCTTCTACGCCATCATTCCATGCAAAGGGATCAAAGACTCGCTGGTGAAGAAGGAAGAAAAACAGCCAGAGTCCTCGGAGGAATCGGATCTGGATGAAGAAGACGACAAGAAGAATACTAAAAAGGTAACGCTTGTAAGTTCCCGACCTGATAACGGACCCTGTGTCAGACCGGAACACTGGTGCACAGAGAATCCATCAATGATGAGCATTGGATTGCCTGGCCCAGACTCGATTATTAACACTGCAGCCAGATAGCTAGAATAGTGCTGGGTGCAGCGTTGAACAAGAGCAAAACAAACAAAAATGAAAATCTACGGATGTCAATACACAATACCATTTAGAAACTGGTCAAATGTCATATATGTTATATTTGGGATTACACTTTCTTAGTACACATTCTAGTACTTTTGTTTGGTGAGACCCATCCGGGATTCGAACCCACCCCCCTCAGAGTCAGGCACCTAATCGCCAGCACCCAAGTCTGCCGCCTAACCCGCTCAGCCACTGATCAGCCACATATGAAAGCCGCGGTAGCTGAGTGGGTTAGACGGCTAACTGTGTGCTGGCGATTAGGTGCCTGACTCTGGGGGTGTGGGTTCGAATCCCGGATGGTACTCAACGGAAACAATCCACGGATATGACGGGAACATGTCTGTAGGGGTCACACAAGGTGCATGTATGAGACGTAAGCAGGGTCGTATTATGACGCTCAGGAGTGAGTGAGTAATGTATTAATGCGATCATGAGAATAGACATAACCGCATCGATTCGATAATCAAACAGATCAACTGCGCTCCTGCCTGCCTCTCTCACAGGAATGTGCCTGTACGTAGTTTCGACCTATGTGAAAACTGTACCTGAATATATATTTAAAGGATGCGTCCCTCGTTATCTGAAAATAGTGGCGTCTACTTTTGAGTCATGGATTAAACTTTATCTGAACTGAGGGATCAGTAATGCATTGCTTATGAGCGTGGTGTTACGGGCGTGATACCTACGTTAATTAAACTATCAAACTCAGTTAGGTGATAAAATTCAGAGCATCGAGTATCATTCATTCACTTAATATAGTTAACATTATGTGCAGTTGGGGGAAAACATAGGTTAAAGTACGACCTAAGCATCTCCAGTTTTGCTTAGCAAATGCACTTGTTATCGCAGATGTGAATACGTATACATACTAGTATATCGGTTAATAATATCGAGTGCAGCGTGTATATACCTCCGTCTTCTGACATCCGACCGTCGGATCTTCAAAATCTATCTGATCAGCTTCCAAAGCCATTTATCATCATGGGCGACCTCAACGGACACAATCCGCTTTGGGGAAGTGACCACACTAATAATAAAGGTAAAATACTTGAGGAATTCATTTCCGATAATAATTTATGTATTTTCAATGATGGTTCAGCCACTTATCTACATCCAGCTGCGGGAACATATTCTTCCCTGGATCTGTCACTCACCGATTCGAACTTATATAATGAATTTGAATGGATGGTTCATGATGACCTGTGTGGGAGTGATCACTTCCCCACCATTCTCAAAACAATCAACCCTGGTGATGATCCACCTATATCACGACGGAACTTCGCCAGGGCTAACTGGTCATTATATAAGACCCTATGTACTGATCACTTAAAACATGACATTTTTGCGAACAGCGAAGATCCTATACAGTTATTTTCAGATATACAGAACAACATTGCTGACCAAACTATACCCAAGTCCTCTGCAATTCCACATTCGTAAACCATGGTTCACTAATGAATGTAAACAGGCCAGAGAGTGTAGGAAGAAAGCGGAAAAGTATTTTCGCCGACATCCTATTGTCCATAATCTAGACAAAGTTAAAATTTTAAATGCCAAGGCTAGACGTGCTTTTAAACAAAATAACTGTCAGTCTTGGCGAAATTATGTTTCTAAGAAGGATTCACGCACACCTATGTCAAAGGTGTGGAACATGATTCAAAGAATAAAGGGCGAAAGTTCCAAGTCTACCGTTCACCATCTGAAGGATGCTGATAATTTATTAACTAATAAATCTGACATTGCCAATAAACTTGGTGAAACTCTGGCCAAGCATTCATCGTCATCAAATTATGTCCCTGAGTTTCAAAAGTTTCAGAAACGACAGGAGAAGAAATGATTAAATTTTAACTCAGACACTACATGAGCTAAATACAGCCCTTGAGCAAGCTCATGATACAGTGACAGGAGCTGATAACATACAGTATCAGCTCTTGAAGCATTTACCGGAATCATGTTTGGAAACACTTCTAACTATTTTTGATTCAATATGGATTACAGGGAATTTCCCAACGTCGTGGCGTAATGCCATTGTAGTCCCTATTCCAAAGCCTGGCCGGGATCATACTGATCCTTCTAATTACAGACCAATCTCTTTAACGAGTTGTGTTTGTAAAACCATGGAACGAAAGGTAAACAATAGATTAACATGGTATCGTGAAACCAATAACCTTATAACCAATATTCAATGTGGTTTCAGGAAATATCGTATTAGCATTGATCATTTGGTACGTTTAGAATCCTTTGTTAACAATGCTATAGTAAATAAACAGCCAGTAAATTCTTTGATCTCGATAAAGCATACGATACCACCTGGAAGCATGGCATTTTAAAGGATTTACATGATTTTGGTTTGAAGGGTCGTTTACCTCTTTTTATATCACAGTTTTTATCAGACAGGCAATTTTAAGTCCGAGTGGGTTCACCCTGTCTGACCATTACAATCAGGATCAGGGTGTCCCACAAGGAAGTATTATGTATGTCACTTTATTTAGCGTAAAGATCAACAGTTTATCCAAGGTTTTAAACAATTCAATTGATGGATCACTCGCGGTAAGAATATGCATACTATTGAACGGCAACTGCAGTTGTGTTTAAACAAGATAAATAAATGGTGTCTTGAAAACGGCTTTAAATTTTCTAAATCCAAAACTAATTGTATACATTTCTGCCGTAAATACAAACCGCATAAAAACCCTGAACTCTCTCTAAATGGCACACCCATCAAAGTTGTGAAGGAGGCCAAGTTCTTGGGTATTATTTTTGACTCGTACTTAACGTTTCTACCACATATTAAATCCCTAAAACTAATGCCTGAAGGCACTTGACTTGTTGAAAGTCGTTTCCAATTCTAAGTGGGGAGGGGATCAAGCTACCCTCCTACATCTATATCGATCACGGGTACGTTCCAAACTTGATTATGGTTCCATCGTTTATGGTGGAGCCTGCAAAAGCAACCTCAAACTATTAGATTCTGTCCACCACCAAGGTCTAAGACTTTGTCTTAGGTCCTTTAGAACTTCTCCTGTTGACAGTCTCTACGTCGAGGCCGATGAGCCATCTCTTACACAATGCCGTATACAATTATCCTTGCAGTATGTAACAAAACTATATTCTAATGAGTCAAATCCTGCATTTAACTGTGTTTTTAATCCTCTTTATGAGGATCTGTACAACAAAAAGCCTTCTCTTGTTCCGCCTCTTGGTTTGAGAATTAAACCATTCATTTCTGTTGCCGGCAGTGAGCTGGAAAATATATCTCCTTCCCGTCTTCTTTCTTCTCCTCCTTGGCAACTGGTGAGGCCAGAAGTGGACCTAACTCTGACAAAGTTTAAGAAATCTGAAACTAATGAATTACAGTATAAACATGAATATAATCAATCAAAAAGTAAATATAATACATACAAATGCTTATTTACAGATGGGTTCAAGGATGGTGGCGCGGTGGCATGTGCCACTGTCATTGGATCCAAAACAATATCTTCTCGACTACCAAATAACAGCTCTATTTTCACAGCAGAAGCTAACGCCATATTAATAGCTCTTAAATATATTAATAAACACCGTAACTATAAACAATACATAATATTTTTCCGATTCTCTTTCGTGTCTTCAGGCTATTAAAAATCTTTCTTCTAAACATCCACTTTTATTAGAAATTATTGAATTGTATAATGAACTTGCTACTGGCCGATGCGACATCGTCTTTTGTTGGCTACCCAGCCACGTTTGCATTTCTGGGAACACAATGGCCGATCTTGCTGCTAAGGCAGCACTCAACAAATCTGTGACACCACTTCTGATTCCATATTCTGATTACAAAGCTGCTAATAGATCTTATATCCGTGATCTGATGCAAAAGAAGTGGGACACCCAAGTAGGTATCAATAAATTACATGCAATAAAACCAACTATCGGTTACACTTACTTGGGTTGTCAGTCCAGATTTGAAGAGGTCATCATACGGCGATATCGTATTGGCCACACAAGATATACTCATGCATACCTATTAAAAGGTGAGGATCCTCCGTTTTGTATCCCTTGTGATGAAAGAATCACAGTCAAGCATGTCCTGCTTGACTGTGTTGAATATTCCATCACAATGGATATCTATTTCAAATCACAAACTCTGAAGGATCTTTCTAGTAATATAAGTTCTCATTTAATTATTGCATTTTTAAAAGAATTTGACTTGTTAACTGATTTGTAAATAGATACATATTTTATTATTGGTAGTTTAGATTAGTAACTTAGATTGTCAGTGGCTGTACCCTCAAAGGGGGTTGAAGTAGTGTAAAATTATTGTGCTTCTGAGAGGGTACGTAAGTCCCGAAACATTCAATGGAAATTTAAATTTACCAGTTGTTTTAAATGTGGTATTCTTGTCATTTTAATTTTGGCTAAATTTGACTTCAATCGCCATCGGCTGAAGGTATGATATAAATCCAACTAGGGTCCATGCAGGTAGCAAAAGTACTGTAAGTCCCCATGGTCCCTAGTTTGGTGATACACCTTCAGTTGTTGGCGATCTATAGCCAGTTTTTATATTGTATTGTCCAAATAGTGCTATTAGTTTTAATTTTCCACACCAGTTTTAGTTGTAATTGTGATATGCTAGTTGTTTTACTGTCCTTTGTCGACAGGTTTTTATAATATACATCTATTCCATTTCAATGTCAGATTTGTTCTCGTCACGATATGGTTGAAATATTGCCGATGTGCCGTTAAATAATAACTCACTCACTCACTAATGATATCGATAACTACATGATCTCAAAGATCCATGGCGCACCATCTAAGTCACAGTACACCGGACCCTACCTGAATGCTCAAGAAACAGAAGACTGACGTATTATTTGGCTTAAGGTGAATGTTCAATTACTAGCAATATCACTGTAAATGCAATCAGTTTTCACTTGTACACTATCGCTGGGTCATTGATCGACAGCCAGAGATAGGAGTCACAGGTCTTGACAGATATTCGTGGTTGAAGGGGTTTCAGACAGGCACATTTCCGGTATAGATCTCCGAATTACAATGAATCAAAAGCATCAAGTCATTCAACCCTAATCTTGTTTTCATTTTTGTCACGTTTGCAGGAAAGAACCATTTTCTATAATATTGTACCCGGCTGGTCATTTCAGGAAAAGAAAGACGAGAAGCCAGGGACATCCGGGCGACCTAAAGGCAACGCTGTTGCTCCGGCACCTGAGGAGGACTCCGGCAATGAGCCTACGGTAATAGAGGATGTTTCACACATGGATGAGGCGGACGTTGAACTCAAGGACATCAAGAAGAAATAGGTCACTAGACTATGCGTATTGATTTATCATCTAGTGAGCGAGTATACATTCTATGTCGGCAATGGTTTTTCATTTTGGCGTCATTTACGAGGCCTAAGATCAGAGAAGAAAGACAAGCTTTTGCCCTTATTACGCAGAGACAAGTCTTAAATTAACACAACTTACAACATGTGGACTTATTCTGGAAACAGGCACCAGACCTTGGTGTCCTACAGAACTCTGCTTACCTGCGAACATCATAACGTATTTCTGTAAAGATGTATTTCATCCTATGTTGTCAATTACACGTCACTGATTACAGTGATTACAAGCTACAGACGTTGCTGTATAGATATGTATGTAACATACATTTACTGTATAAAAGAGATGAAACGATTTCGATAATGACAGGAAATCTGAGATCACAGTCCATTGTACGATTCCGACCATATCATAAGCGTGTGTTCAAAAATCACTATCAGATAGTGATGCTATCAGGTAACACATGCAAAGGGACGGAAATTGTGCATTGAAAAAAGCCTGGAATATAAAGGAGATGTCAGAATTGCATCAGACATCATTTTTGCACAAGCAAAAACTGAGGCGTCTTCCACATGTCTTAAAGGCATCATGGTTGTCATGGTGATCATTGGTGAGGACGAATCCTGCCGTTACACTACATGCACTTTAAATCTAATTATATACATAAATGTGGAATGTAGCAAAGGTACTGTGTATATAACAATGGTGAAACTAATGCTTTTGAAATCTTGTATCCCGAATACAGACTATTAAATACATAGGGTTTGTAATTTCGTACCATGTTTGAAAGTCTTGCATCAAAATGCACTTTTACCTGACAATTGCAGTCTGTGCATGCACTAACAATATCACAATAATGAACTATGTATTATCTATGGTATCTATGGTAAACGACTGTCCAGCAGACATGACAAGCACTCATGTATTTGTTTAGGGGCCGCATGGGTATATTCCTGTCATATTTCTTCATAAATTCCACAAATTTCTCATAAGTTTTAGGACTGAACCACAAACATATATTTACCTTTTATCTATAACGCCACTTATGGGGTACAATGTATACAACGATTGGTGTCTCCACGTCCATGCATTTTTGCAATATATACGTTTTCTCCTAGTTACTGTGAATGTCTTGTAACTTTCAATATACATGTGATATATTTGCTATACAGTAAACCTATGGCTATATCATAATATACAGTTAAAACAGATGACCACTGACTGTCTATAGGACGGTGGAGTATTGAATCAGACTTCTATTCTTCGTGTCTACTATTATGTAACTATTGAGGACACAGGTTCACTTGGCCAGTGAGATTATTTTCATTACCTGTGTATGTCAAACTATATCTTTACCAAGTAGTACAATAAAATAAAATACTGATAAAACCGTGATTGTATTTTTCGTCTTTTTGTGTAATATCTGACACAAAACAGAAAGTGCCACCTTGAATATCAATGAAATCATAGTGTTATATGATTAATAATGATTATGTCATCGCTGGACAAAGCGATTATTATGTTAAAACAGTCAAATTATCAGTTAAGTAAGACCATTGCTGTCATCCGCCAACATTAATATCCATACACCACTTTTCGTTTTCAAAGGGCAAATATTGTTGAAATTCAGGCAGTAAATATACAATATGATAGGGGTGGTTCATTTGCTCACCATACAATCGTTATGCATGCAGCAATGCCACTGTTCTGATTCCAGCCTTACACCCAGGCTCCCAGATGAAGAACCCGCCAATAGACAATGGAGAAGCAATATCCGAGAAAAAGGGGTAAAATCCAACTTACATAGCTACAAGAACCAACGACGAAATCCGATCACGTTGAGTAAACGTGTGCATACAGTTAACATGTTAACATATGTAAACTTCATGTACAAAAATAAAAATACACAATTACTGTACTGGAGACACTTGAATGGATTAGGTGTCAAAGTCAAAAGCTGCAAGAAATCTCCTTTCCTCAGGAAACTTTTGGGTGTCAACAGTTTTATCTGTTGACCACGACCGCACTCCTGACAATAGAGAAGTTGATATCCAAACATCTTTGGCTCATGTTCATCACTTCTTAATGCGCTTAAAAGGACTCCGGAAACTTAAGGTTTTTTAATATGGATTGCTATATGACGAAATGATGTTCTCTGATGAAATTATGTAAAGCTATATCTCGTCGAAATTAGAATATATAAACACAACAGACACGATCAGTGGAATTAAATTTGGCTGACAGGCGATACTGGATACTATCAAGCAATGATGTTAAGTACTTATGTATATTGAATATTTGTGTAGTATTGCGGCAAAGACGTTGGGAGGTCTAAAATATTAAAGTAACGATAATACCATTGTCAATATCAAGCGGTTTGGATCGCACCAAAATGCACCGAATCGATGGCACCTGCTAACACGTTAATTGCCAGGAGTCAAAGTACATTGTACATTTATTCATCCCAAACAGGATTGTGTGGTGCCCGTTCGTCATTGCCGAACATGTGCCAGAAGCCGTAGTTCAAGGTTTCTTGGCACAATGGGTTTTACCAAAGTAATAAGCTTCTAACTACAGCTTGATCACTAGGAGTTTCCTTCCATTCCAAGGTGACTCAGTAATGTTCCAAGCAGCGTGTTCTGGAGCGTTGCGGTAGGCAAAGTGTTTAGAAATATGTTTACAAACGCCAAAAAACTCCCCATGGGAGGCATAGTTTAAATTTTAAACTTTTGACAAACAAAATTGAAAAAAAGGTTTTTCATCCTTCGTACGTTAAAATGACACCAGGACCCGGTTGTATCAAACTTTAATAAAGCTTTAATCGTTAATTAAACTATGATTAGTTAATCATTGATTATCTTCAGTTGCATGAAACCCTAATAAAGGAATCCCTTCATTAATCCATCATTAAGCTAATGAAGGTTTGGGGGTATCATTAACTCGTCATTAGCTGTATCAACATGGCATGGATCTCTACACTTTGAGCTTCTGCAAATAGATAGGATTTTTGGTTTTGGTTTTTTAAATTAGATATAAAATATGCCACCGTTCCACAAAGTCACTGAAAATAAAATAAAAATTACAAATGCAAATACGGACCCGAGCCAAAAAAAATTGCCACTTAACTTAATTTCAATAGACTTACATGTGAATTTAGTGTAGAAAACACAATTTTAATTTAATTAATTCTGGTGGAACGGAAAATTCTGTCGAAATTATGTGGGTGTAGCTGAGATGATTACTGTGCTCACTTTAATTAGGACCCAATGAAAATTAAATTCATGGAAAATATTTATGCTTCACAAAATTAACATACCGTATAAGTCACATTACTAATACTGTTGACACAGGCCTGTATTTCCTCAAGCGCTTTTTATTTGATGTAATTACATTACGAGTTTTCGATGATAATTCCCTGAAATATTCTAAATTTTAAAGCATAATTAATAATGACAGCAGCGTCAAATGCTTCTGTCTGTTACTAACTTTGCTATATTTTTGCACAACCTTTTTAATATTGTCGCTTCTTAAATATTTGCATTGTGAGAAACATAATAGGAAGCGTATGCAAAGTGTAACGGGATGGGTTCCAGATACAAAAATAGTAACAGGGGGACTTCACTCTTGTGAGAAAAGAGTGAACGGCCTTCACATTGATTTGGATATTCGTTGGAAGAGGACGAACGTTATGTACAGCGGGTGAAATGTGATTGAATAAAGTTCAACTGCATTGTACAGAAGGTAAGAATATGAAATGAAACTGTCCGCAATTTCGACATTATGTTTTGAAGTCGCAAGCTAGCCTATGTCTTCGTCTACTTGCTATTTTGTTTTAATATTTGCATCGACATACATAGAGAATACTACACGAGGTTCATTACATACGAATTATAGGCGAAATGAGTGTCCTTCCTATGGTATCTGACCGAGCGAAAGCGAGGTCAGAAACCATAGGAAGGTCACAAGCTTCGTATAATTCGTATGTTATCAGACCGAGTGTGGTATTTTATGTATTACCCACGTTTTACATGCTTTAAATTGACAAAATAGCCCACTCCGGCCACACCGTTGAAACATGCGGAATCCGAATAAATATCCATGATTTTCTCGATGGATGAGAAAACAGGCTTGGGACATGGACCGCCACCTGTTTTTTTCGTTTGAATTTTTCTACCTGAAAACTCTTTTTTTTGCATTTTGAAAAATATTATTCCATTTTTGTCTTGATTTCTTTGGACGTCCCATTGCTTACCCCAAGGCTATTGATCTCGGCCGTTATTTTGTCCCATATCTGCTTCTTTTTGTCATTAATTATGGAGTTGGTAAGTTTGCTGTTTAGCACACCGATATGATCTTCAACTAGATCTGTTAGAAGTTGTATTTCACAACTTTCAAAGTTTTTGCTGCGATTTCTGAAGGCAGCCATGATGCAGACGATCGATGAGTGTTTACATGCATGGCATCATGGATAATAATTAGGGGATTCCCCTAAGTTAATCATGGTTTAATGACGGGACCTTTATTAGAGGCATACTTAATTAATGGGTGTTTAAATAAGGGTTTATACAACCGTATTTAAACACTTCATTAACTAATCAAACATTAAGTATTTAATCAGTGATTAGTGTTTAATTGATGATTACATAATTACGTGTTGATACAACCGGGTCCAGTCCTTTGTCTGTGTTATGAACACTTGTCAGTTGGGCACATTTACCATTTGAGACTATATAATGGTTTAGAAATTGAAAAGTGATAGTATTCGATAAATTCTCCATGTTTTAAAGTTATAGTAATATTTTGTTACTAAGCGCCATAACATCTACAACCAATAGTTGCACTATCACTGTTAAGGGTGTTTGGCTGTCGAAATTTCAGAATAGAGGTAACCGTTCAAGAATTCAGGAATCCTCCACCTATATTCGCTGTTCAGAGCTCCCACCATTGGGGTCATCTTGCGCATAAGTTGCCAGATCTTC